GCTCTCTGACCCTCCCATAGACAGCAAGGTAACTACCACGTTCAAGGTCCAGAAAAGTACCAAGATGATCGACAAAGTAGTCCGTGTGACATCAGTGGTTCAACTGTAAAGTTACGAAGCTACGAGAATACTTTTTTGTGCAAAGAAAACAAAAATAACGACTTTATTCCACATTTTCGTATCTACTGCGTCATGGCGTCCTCACGCCGGATCTGGGTCAGCGCCGCCACATGCTCGCGTTATGATACTGTTATGTCACGATAATTCTCGTAGCTTCGTAACTTTACAGTTGAACCACTGATGTCACACGGACTACTTTGTAAATTATCTTGGTACTTTTCTGGACCTTGAACGTGGTAGTTACCTTGCCGTCTATGGGAGGGTCAGAGAGCTCTCAGATTTCATCAAATATATCTTAAATTGTGTTTCCGAAGATGAACGAAGGTCTTACGGGTTTCGAACAACACGAGCGTGAGTAATTAAATGACAGAATTTTCATTTTTGGGTGAACTAACCCTTTAAAAAATCTTTCCAACCCCCCAAAATATTTGAATACTAAAATTGTCTTTTCAGCTGCAGAATATGAAAAATATGATTATTTTAAAACAGCTTTCCCTGAACACAGCATCCTCCATTGGTTAGACAATGAGAAGGTCTGTCCCAAACTAACACCAAACTATTGGTTCCACCAATTTTGCTGCTGTGACTTTCCAAATACTATTCGTCTTCATTTTGAACTGTATATCTTTATAATAATAATAAACCCACAAATAGCTCTTTTATGTTTCTTAAAATGTGTGCTAATGTTAACTTAAAAACAAATCACTATTTTTAATCTATTACTATGACAGACAGTTTGGCTAAAGTGTTCAAATACTTTTTGGGCCACTGTATCTGTAAATATGAATGCTTCTCCCAAATGGTGCAGTTTAGCTCTGTTGTTATTTAATAAAAAGTGTCTGAGTTTAACTTTATTTTTTATCCCAAAGGCAAGCAAAGTGTGTCATTTTCATTTTCAGTCCTATGTATGAACTGTTCCAGATACATGATGACGTTAATTCAACCTCAAGTAGATTTGCCTTGTTCTTTTCCAGGAATAATAATTAGGAAAATATATGTATATATTTCACACGCAATATGATAAGAACTCACAAATCAAGTTATTAATCTAATATGCTGCCCTTGTTGAGGATAAAAATGTTTTGAAGGATGAGATAATATACAACTTGTTAATATTTCAGTCAGTGTTTAAAATTAAGTGAGTGAAAACTGGTTTGGGCTGCTATCCCTAGAGGAAGTGATGTAACCAGCCATTTACCACATTTACCTGCTTTATTAAGTGAGATCTGGGGCGCTTGAAATAAAGACCACCTGTACACACACTCTTCAAGTTTATCCTTAAACCACTCACCTTTAATGGCTGATTCGACTCGTTCGAACTCCAGGAAAATGCGGACAGCCTCGTCGTCAGAAACAACGGCGATCTGAAAACACAAGCCAGACACACAGGTTTCATGTCAGCGACAGATATTAATGACATCTGCTGCTTACATACACGAGCAGGAAACTTTCAGTGGCATGTGATACACGTTTGACATAACGCTCACCTCAAAGATGACACACTTGATGACTTTGCCATACTTCTCACACTCTTCCTTAGTCTCAGCTTCCAGGTCTTCATCAACTTCTCCCCTTCCAACCATGTTCTACACACACAGACAGTTTTTATTTGCAATTGAATCTCAACAAATGATTTAGACTAAATTGTCCTGAATATCAGCTGCTTCTCATGTAACATCCTGTTAAAAGGAGCACAAATTAACTAGGACTAGGGGTAAAAAAAAGCACAGAAAGTGTAAAAAAAAAAAGTCATACATTTCTATTAGGGATGCACCCATAGGATTTTTTTCGTCCGATACGATTTTAACAAACAACTATTGGCCGATTCCGATACCGATATTGGTCAATTGCATAAAGCAGGGGTTAAAAACGGGGGGGGAAAAAATCGGTTCACTCCGAGCAGAATTGGTATTTGAACGTTTCTGTTCCTGCGTTCCTCTGTATTATTAACATTCCAAAATCGGTTTGAGTAGAGAAAATATTGGTTAATAACGTTATTTTTAAAACTTTTTCTTTGCCTATAATAATAATAATAATAATAATAATAAAAAGTACAGCATTTTCTTTACTCAAAAAGAAAAGAAAACACGAGGGTCTTGATCTGGTAGCCTATCTTGCGCTTAGTCATAGCCAACACAGCATCATCTTTTCTAGATTTTGACCAAATGTATTAATCAAAAGAAAATACTGTCAATTTAAAGACATTAAAATAGGCCTATTTTTTTCAAGATATTTAAAAATGTTTTCAGCATGGATAAAAAAGTGCTACTCCTATAAGCATTTTGAGAGGAAAAAAACAGCCTAAATTAGTAGGCTGTACGTCTCATTTTATTATTAAGATATTATTATTATCATTCAGAAATAATGTAGGCTAAAACACCAGTAAATAAAGCAAAATATTTACAAACATTACAAACACAATTAGGCTATTTCAGTTCCCTTCTCTCCACAACAAACCCTCTACAGTTGTAAGCCAAAACAAATTCATTTAAAAGCGAAACTGAAGCCTACCTCTCTCATTCTGCACGAATCCAAATGTTTTTATATTCACGACTGGATCTGGATGCTAAAATATTATTTATAATGTAAACTATAGGCTTTGTTCTTCACTCGCATTTTCGACATAAAACATCATCCTTTACATAGGCTATAACAGCACAGTAAGGCGGTGGTAACGCTGAACAGCACAGACTGTACTACGGACTATTTCAATTGAGCAGTGTAACTTTTTATGTATCTTTAACTGTATTTTATTTTGATAATGAACAGGCTGCGATGTCAAGTTTGCAAAAATATGTTGTATGTGCGTGTGATTCGCTGACGCGATTCAAAACTGTAAAGCTTTTGCAAAATAAAGAAAACGGCTTTCCTTTCCGTGAACTTCGGAGCGCATTACAATGATCCAAACTCAGCAAAAAAAAAAATTTGTTTTGTTAATCTGTTAATGATTTAAGTGAAATATATTTCATGTATAGGCCTATATATTCCTTTTTATGTAGCCTATATAGTTTCATTCCATTTTCTCTGTTCACAGAAACGCTGCAGGTGCGTGATGTGAACTTGTGTGAATCCCTGTTCTACACGATCCTGCCATTTTTGCTGGTTTCAAACACACAAAAAGCTGCATATTACCTGCCATTCATTTTCATTTAAATGCAGGCTTAATGCTTAATTGGCAGTTCGTGACATATCCTCAGATAAACTAACTCAGGGGCATTGCCATTGCGACTTACCTATGATGAATTTACAGCTGAGCGCAGGCGTTTCACTCGTTGGATGCGTCAGCATCACATTTGCATAGGCTGTACTATGCTTTCTGACAAACTATGTTTTGTACAGTTTTTATTTTGCTTTGGCAAGTATTTAAATATTTTGCCCAGAGAAAAATTTTGGATTATGCAACAGACATGTAACACATTGTCTCCATGCAGTTAATTAATAAACCATCGGTATCGGCCCTTTTCATGCTATTTCCGATATGCCGATGGCTTTAAAATAATAAAAAATCGGCCGATAAATATCGGCGGTTGATACATCGGTGCATCCCCAATTTCTATGCTTTTTAATGCTTCAACATAAATGGGTGTACATATAAAAGTGACTACATTTCATTCAAGTGTCTTAATAAAAAAATTATTAAAAATGGACTATCATTCCCAAGACTATTGTGTTATTAGCTTAGCAACATGCAGAAACTAATGAAATCAACTGGCAGTCTAATCACACTTATGTTTCCAAAACAGACATTTATGAAGTTCTATTTCATTTAGAATGATGTCTTAAAAAGTCAAAAGAAAGAGCTAGAAAGAAAACACAGCTTACCCGCAGCAACACCACCTTTGTAGGACATTTGAGAATCTCTGTAAGAGGGTTGGCATCGCTTTTCTTTGAGGCATCCACTATAAAAACGGAAAGAACATTTCTATTTAAATCACAACATGCAGCTTAATTTACCAGCAAAAACAACTTTTTACTGCCGATAGCAGTAATAAAAACAACAGGTGTAGTGAAATAGTTGTAAAAAAAATTAATTACAAAAAATTAGATTCTCAGATCACTGTTTGTGATATAATAAATAATTAAAGCTGCAAGCAGCGATGAACGGGCCCTCGCACCCGGGCTCACCGCCACCCGGTGGCTTTAGGAAAACAGCAAACAGTGGGCAATATGCGATAAGTGGTAAATATAGGAGGAATATGTCAAAGTCATTCACATGTGCCAAACTTCCTGCTGCCAGCTGGTGGCGCTATGATTATAACTGGATGTTGGCATGTAGGTGTCTTCAGGCCAGCACTTTTATTAAACATGTGAAGTCTGGTGCAGATTGAACATGGTATGTTTGAGTTAGTGTAAAGCATGGCATATCTTGTTGCCAACAGGTGGCACTATAATTATTACAGAACATTGACATGTAGATGTCTTCAGGCCAGTATTCTTACTAAACATGTGATGTTTGGTGCAGATTGGACATTGCATGTTTAAGTTAGTGTATACAAAGTCATTTCCTGTTGCCAGCAGGTGGCGCTATGATTATTATTGAATATTGGCCTTAAGATGTGTTCTGGCCAGGACTCTTATCAAACGTGACGTTTTTTCTGGGGGCAGATCGGACATTGCATGTATAAGTTAGTGTAAAACAAGTAATTTTCTGTTGCCAGTAGGTGGCGCTATGATTATAACTTAATATTGGCATGTACATGTTTTCAGGCCAGGATTCTTATCAAATATTTTAAGTTTAGGGCAGATCAGACATTGCATGTTTAAGTTACTGTGAAACAAGACATTTCCTGTTGCCTGCAGGTGGCGCTATAATTATAACTGAATATTGGCTTTTAGATAAGTTCAGGCCAGGACTCTCATAAAACATGTGAAGTTTGAGTCAGATTAGACATTGTATGCAAGAGTTACAACAACTTCCTGTTTGATTGTGTTAATAGCATGCTTTAGCACTTAGCTAAGTGTTGCTAGCATGTATGAGCACATTTCTAGCATGTTTAGCACACAATGGCATATTTTACTGTGTTGCTAATAGTGCAGCACAGTGTTAAACATGTCACTTCCTGTTACCAACAGGTGGCGCTATCACTAAACTGAATCTTTGCATGTAGATGTGGTCAGGCCAGGACTGTAATCAAACATGTTAAGTTTGGGGCA